TGCTCCAGGGAACAGGGACAGGAGGAGAGGGAACGGCCTCAGGCTGGGCCAGGGCAGGTTTAGATTGAATATTGGGAATATTTCTTCACAAACAGGTTGTCCAGCCCTGTCACAGCTGYCCAGGGCAGTGGTGGAGTYCGCACTCCTGGAGGGATTTTAAAGCCRTGTAGATGTGTCCCTTGAGGATATAGGTCAGTGGAGGCTTTGGCAGTGCTGGGGSAATGGTYRGACTGGAKRMCYTKSMRGGRWTTTTYMAWYCMWWCAATTCTGAAGGATCTTTGTGTGAGACTCATTCTCCTGTACCCATTGCAGTGTTCAATACTGAATACGTGTTTGACTTTATCATCTGTTTTGTAGGCTGGAACTGCAACACCTCACTTAAACCTGGAGCCATGGGTAGAACTTACTTTGTGGAGGAATCTATCGGGCAGTACCTGACAGAGCTCAGCACCAAGGTGAAGCCATATGTCACTGGGCTGTTGATAGGGCAGGTGAGTGTGGAATGTCTTCCCACTGGTTCCTGTGAGTTGGTGAAACYCCTGTTCACCAGTCTCAGGGTGTGTCTGCTTCTGTTGCTGTTTTGGGAAGTGCTCCCCACAACGGGACTATGTCATTCGGGCTGTGCGAACACCTCCGAAGGAGCAGCAGCAGGAGGAGACCATGGGCCCTCCCAGGCTGGCATCCATGGATGAGGAGTGGATCACCACACACGCCAGCCAGGTGAGGAGAACTCGCCCTGGAAGGGGGCAAAAGGGTGGGAGGAAGGGGAGTGAMATTAGATGGACACAAAGTATCTGAGCCCTTGTGTCATCTCAAGCCTTTTCTCCAAGTGAAAGTACTCTCCTAACCACTCTGGGCACAGATGTTTTAAACCGGAAATCTCCTGATTGTTTTCAGGTTTTTTGATGAAAGGACACTTGATATTACCAAAGGGAGAACACTGGCAGGTTGTTTCTGCATGCAGAGGGTCATATGAGTGAAAACCAATCTCCCTTAGTTCATTTCTGCTCTTGGTGCATCCTTGTCTCATTAGTGCTTTTGGGATCTCAAGTTACATGGTTGGTAGGTTGCCAATTCCTACCAATAAATGTTGTTTTTCATTTCCAAGGTGTCCAGAATGCTCCCTGGAGGGCTGCTGGTCCTTGGTGTGTTTATGATTGTGACTCCAGAGCTGGCGAAAGACRGTCAGAACGCTCTGCGCAAGGTGAGCACAGCTCCTGCTGGAAGCAGCACCTTCCWCTGTGTGCCTGAGGAATTTTCTGTCTTTGGCTTGACTTTAATACAGTTGTTATGTTGCTTTTGTTGCTTTGATGTGTGGATTTGAGACTAGAATGTCAGAAATCCGTGTCCTGTGGGACACTATTTGTTAATCTCCTGTTTGTTGCTGTGATAGCAAATCTGAATTTGTATTTATTGTGTTTATMTCTATTTACTGAACATTCTGGCTTAGGGAAAACATCTTCAAGGTGTATATTGAGCTAAATCTTTGTGACACGAKTGAAGTTAACATATTAGGTGTCCTTGTCTGAATGAATCACTCAGTTTAGAGGTGTTCACAGTAGTGAAAGATCCTTAATTCTCATTCCTTTAAAAGGAATCTTACCTAGAACTTGCGCATTTGACTCAGGTGTGTGGTGTTAAATTTAAAACATACTTAGAACTATCTGATGGACTTAAAATGCATTTTTGTTACAGCGTTGGGGCATCTACTGTCATATTCAGTTTCTGTTTTGAAGATGGAGGTTAATTAGGTTAATTTTATAATTTTTGTGAGATAATCATGATGAGTGGTTTAAACATGAGCAGGTTTGGAAGCCTGAGGTCCAAGAATCAATTTTAGCAGTTCACTGCAATTGCATCTCTGTTGTGCTTGATAAAACTAGTAGCTGGCTAAAAAAGGTGASCTGTGTCCAGGTGATCAGTGATTGCTAGATTAAAAATGTGGGGCTTTTTGGTTTTTATGACTAGTAGCTATTTTACACAGTTGCCTTTTCTGATCCTCAGCTGACAGGCATAAAGCTGCCTCTGTGAGGACCAAAGCACACAGGTTGGACATGTGAATGTGTGCTGCTTGGTTTGGGTTATCAGGGAGCTGAACTGAGATTTCACTAGCCCCTTTCACTTTGGAGAAGGTGCCTTTGAATCTGTTTAATGTTTTTTAACGTGACATTTGGATGAAGTGTGAGCTGTGTTTCCTGCTTATACGTAATTTTGATATTACTTGGACTTAAAACTTTTAGTGTAAGACTATTTTCCAGGAATTATTGTGCATATTTTTGTGGGAAAATCCATAGTATTTTTTTTGTCTTTAGCTAATCTTCTCAGTGGAAAAGTGCTTGAGTAAAAGAAGGCTCTGGAAACCTGCTGAGGAGGAGATCTCAGACAGAGCAGCTCTTCAAATTTGTTCTACTACAAAAAAGTATCCTTCATGAGCAAGGTTATTGACTGMGGCTGTTACCTCTGACCTCTTTTATCCAGTTATTGCTGAGTCAATGAGAATTTGTGGGCAAGAAGTTGTCTAAGTTCAGGTAGACGTGGATAAGTTGAAAAAATGACATTTTCTGATTAGCCATGGTTAAGGCTATTGACCTTCATGTCCTTGCAAAATTTTCAGTTTCTTACAAGTTTTGTCTTTGTGGTTGCATCAAGTTGCACCTCTCCCAGTCAGTCATGATTTGCATAAATTGAAGAAAACATCTAAATTACTGTTGGACTTCTTGAATTGCTGTTACCAATGGTGCTTGCATGGAATTGGGGGAGCAGGAGGCATGGGGGATTGGAACTAATGCTGCAGCAGAATGCAGGGGCTGTTGGTAAGGACATCACATGAGCAGAGTTAATTAATCTAGTTAATTAACCTAGATAATTCTCTAATTCTGTGAGGGAGATGAGGACAAATTACAAATTGGTGCCTTGGTGATCAATGCATATTGATCTTCATTTGTTTATGRGAGATGGCACACCATCACTGTGGTAGTTAGAGATTGCAGGCAAATATTTTCATACTTTTTCACACTGATGAAAGGTGAGAACTTGCTCCAGAGCATGCATTAGCTCTACAAGGAAGTTTAGTGAAGGGCAGAGTTAATTGTGGATTGTTGTTGGCTGTTCTCTTGCTTTTCAGTGCTTTTTTCTTAAGTAGCACAGAGTAGTTTGCCGAACCTATGATGTGCAAGACCCAAAGGTGAGCTCATCCTGCTGTGCCACAGACAGCTTTTAAGGCATGGCAAGTTATGCTAGAAACCCCAAAAAAGCCTCAAAGCAGTGCTTTGTATAGATGTTTTTTCTTTCCTGCTCTCAGAGTTCAGCTAAACCAGCAGACTGGAAATACCAGAGTGCTCTGACTGCTTCCTGGTTAGCTTTGGGCTGCACAGTGAATGTGAACATCCACATTCCCCTTCTTGCTACTTCCCCAAACCACGACCTRGAGAAGAACACCAAGGTAACTCATTGCCTGCACTGGGTCCTACTCASCAGTAATGGCACTCATTTCTCTGCTGAAAATTCAGTGAGAGGGAAAGATTGGAATAGTGCAGGGGAAGAGTGGAGAATTAGTGGAGAATGCTTAGCAGTTATTTGGGAAAACATAGACTGGTTTTTCAGAGATTTTCAAACTCTCTCAGAGTAACTATTAAATCACATGTTTCTATAATTTTCAGCATGATACTGTCCAACTCTTTAGTGAAATTTTCTTTCCTCTTTCTTTTTTTGTTTTCATTTATTTAAAGAACGGGTTAAACCGGTGGTCAAAACAGATAGAGGACAGTGTTTTTCTGATCAATGGCCAAGTTAAGGATGAGGACACAGAGCTGCTGGAAGGGCAAGTGAGTACCAAACAAGGAGTTGAGCTCTGATAAATGTGTGGTTGGAACCTCTGTGTGAGAAAGCATTGACTGAGATCTCTCTTGTGTGGTATTTGTTGGCCTGATTGGGCTGTTCCAGGTAACCAATCCACAGAACTCCYGTGTTCAGCTTCATTCCTGCACATTGCCTTTCCCTTCTGGGCAGTGTGAGTGCAGTAATGATGTGTGAAGTGACTGAAGTGTCTATTACAGAGCAAGAGTGAGGTGTGAATGTGAGTCAGGACATTTCAAACACCTGTGTCTTTCACCTCATTTGGCTGATGCAKTCACCTCTCTTTTCAGTTTGGTAGTTCTGTTCTCCTGGCTGGTTTCTAAATGCTGTTTTTCACTCTTGAAGGCTCTAAACTAGGACACACTTCATGCCACAGGGATGGGGCTGTTTGAGGGACATTTTTTTTTCCCTGTTCCTTGACACAATGCATTTTTTTCCCCCTCAGAAAAAGTTTAAAGGAAATACTCAGCCCAGCATTCAGTTTTCTGATGTCAAGGTTCTGACACAGCTGGTAAGTGATWAGTGGTTTGCAAAGTATAAGCTTGCTTTTATATTATAAAATAGAGAAGAAAATGAAACAAGGGTCTGATTTATTGTCTAGAAATCCTGATTCCTTATTCTTAAGACTGTTTCCCTCACAGATATTGACTGTGAAACTGATTGTTGACAGATCTGCATACTCTGTGCCTTTAGAAATTCTTGAGGTGTGATAACCACGTTATCACACCTGAATTGCACAGTATAGTTGAAAGACTGGAAAACAGGCTCTGGAAAAGAAATGCTGTGACTAGTTCCTTTGGTAGTAGGATACCTGCAGGTACATCCTGTGTGCATGGATTTCAGGTGACTTTGCATCTGAAGTTCCTAGTGAGCCCCACACTTTAACTTGCCCTGGCTAGCTTGGACAGTCACTTGGACTTTGAGCTTTTGGCAGAAGCTCAGCTGCCAGCTCTGGATTAAGGGACAGATCCCGTGAGCTGAATCATCATCTCAAACTGTTGTATCAGTGTCAGGAGTTTCCTCTCTGCCAAAGTTGTGAAGAATTTGGTGTTCTAGTCTAGATGGGTCCAGGCATTGTTTCACAGTGTTCTGCGTTTTGTCTGGGAGTTGCTGGATTCTCCAAGTTGTGTTCAGCAAAACTGGAGATGTATCCAATGCCATTTTAAAGACTTCATGAGCATCTCAGCTTCTGTTGTGTGTTGTACTGAGGTTGATTGCTGTAGGGAGAGGAGAACTCTTTATTTTGGCAGTTGTATTTTGTGCAATTGGTGTGGAAGTTATTCATCCCCGTGTTTTCAGGTGTTGTCTTGTTCCAGGTGTTGTCCTGGAGCGCTTCACACACACACTCATTGTTGTGGCAATTAGGGAGAGCATTTCTAGGCAACAGTTGGAYGCAGCTCTCTGTGTGACCATGTGGATAATTCGGTACTGACTGATGGGGTGACTCCCAACACTCCCTGGCTCTCACTGACTATAGGAAAYGTGAACACTGCATGTGTTCAAAGCGGATTTTTCCATTGCAATGCTGTTATTTGCCACAAGCCTGGAAARTTTTAAAMTCTTACAGACACCAGTATTTGAAAYATCTGGAGAAGCAAAAGCATTTTCCATGGTGGAAAAGAGATTTTCAGTCTCACCCAAACAACTGAAAAAAACAGAATAAAATGAGTTACAAACGATGAGGGGAGCAGGTTATGTGTGAGCAGCTGCTGGTGATTTGGTGGCTCTGAGATCAAAGGGGGATGTTTGGTCCGCTTAACCCAAGCGGGAGTCGTGAGGGGTTCGTTATCAGAATCTCAGAGTGCAAAAGAAACAAGGAGGCAAGTATATATATTTTAAATAATCAAGAACAATTTATTTGGATTTTTGCGATAGAAGAGGGTGAGAGAGAGAAAGTAAGAGAGAGGGGGAGAAAAAGAGTGGGTTGTATAGCTGCCAAACAGCTCCGGTGAGTCCCCGCAGTCCGAATTTCATAGGTTCGCCAGCAGTCCGTTGTGGGGGATCCCAATAAGGGTCTTTTCAGAGAGACTTTTTATAGTCCTTTTGAAAGCAGGTGGCAGCAGGCCAGGGGGTTGTGAAGTATGGAAACTTGTGAAGTATGGAGAAATCAGCCGAGCCGTGGGGAAAGCATGTCTATTTTTCCATGAGGTGTGCAGTATGGGGTCGCGCCGCTCTCTTTCCATCTCCACATCAGGAGCAGCACAGCCATCCATGGTTTACAYGCTGTACCTTCCAGCCTAGGAGCTGGAAAATGGGCAGTCATCCCACCTTGATCTGGCTCGGACTCCTTTAAGCAAAAAGTCCCCCTTTCTTCCCCTCGGGGTTCTCTTTTTTGGGGTGTTCAGTCTCAATCTATATTGATGATGGTGAGACAGTCAAAGGTCTTGTGTAGGGTCTGTTACAGATGTGAATTGTGTTTGTGTCCCAGGGCCAGGGCTCCAGTCCCCGCTGCACGGCCACGGTGCAGGTGTGCAGTGGCTCCATCAACCTGCGCGGAGCCGTCAAGTGCCGCGCCTACATCCACAGCAACAAGCCCAGGGTCAAGGAGGCCATCCAGGTACTGCTGCTCCAGCAGAAATGCCCTTCTCAAATACATGGCACTTGGCTTTTCTTTGCCAAAATGGTCTAAACTGGGGTCAAAATGTTCATCCCYTTGGACAGGGGGTTGTTTTAGAAGTCATACACATGGGCTCAGTTAGTTTTTCTCTTCTAGAGAGGATGTGTGCTCTGGKTAAGGCTGAGCTCTGGGGAATTTTTGCATGAATTGTCAAAGAGATTAGGCTTYGAGGAATTCTCTTAAAATTAAGAAAAAGTTGCTGACTATATGTTTCATATTTGTAGAAGTAAAATTCAGATTTATTTGCTCAGTAATTTATTTTTCCCCCTTACTGAGTCAATGCCTTGTGAATAGTTTTGTTTATATTTRCAGATAAATATCTGGAAGTTGTCAGTTCTTATCCTAACAATCCTAAAATGTCCCTCAGCTTTTCATTTTTGTTTTGTGGCTTTCCTTCTTGATAGCAATTCTTTTGATGTTAGCTTCTGCTTATGAATAAATTATTTATTAATCTGAAAATTCACTCTAGTTTTTATTTTCTGTGAAAAAACTATTCTCTTATCGTGGGTTAAACGTATGGGGCTTCTTTGGTCGTTTCCTCGTGGTTAAAAGCTTTGTAAATGGCTTTGATATTTTTAATCATTTCACTGTGTCCTTGCAGGCTTTGAAAAGAGACATAATAAACACATTGAGTGACCGCTGTGAAATACTTTTTGAAGATCTGATTTTAAATGAAGGACCTCAGAAAAAAAGTAAGAACTAAAAAAAAAAACAAAACCCAACCCAACAGCTTATATTTGCAGTGAATTTTGGTCGTAGAAAATTCTGCTGTAGTGAAGTTCCAGTATGATTGGAGCAGAATAGAAAGTCAAAAAGTAAATTGTTGCTTGGCAGCCTTGACTTTCTGAAATCTGGAGATTTTTTGTCAAGTTTGTGTCCTTTGGCATCACAGCTTTTTCACCATGTTTGTGTTCAGTTCCTGTGATAACAAAATGCAATTCCAGCTACTTCCTCACTTATCAAAAATGTTGTGGTTTTTTTATAACTTCTGTAGTTGAAATTGCTGTCTCTGAAGTTCCAGCTGTACCTTGCACATTTTTAATTATTATTTTTTAAACTCCTATATGGTATTCTTATTAATATTGAAGTGTGTTAAGACTTGATAGAGCCCAGATCTCTGCTGGGAACTCTGAACTTCTTTAAGTCAGTGCAGTGGTGTCGTAAATGTTTAAACCAAAAATGAGTTAATCGGCAAATCATTGGGAATATCTTGGATCAAGAGAGCCTTTCCCATTGCCCGCAGTTCTGAGTCCCCTCTCTAGATGGCACCCGAGCTTTGTGGCTCTGAATGTGACACTTCTGCCATCCTTCGTGGTGATGGTAAAATCCTGCTCCTCTGGGAGCTCTTACCTGCAGCTCTCCCAGAGCCCCCCTGCAGGTCATTCCAAACAGGAGAAAAGCTCTGCTGAGCCTTTTATGGRCTGGTTTGGAGCTGTCCCGGGTGTTTCTGCAGGGTCTGATAATGTAAGACCATAAATCCATGTTATAGCAGCCAGCTGAACCCAGACAYGTCTGAAAATAGGATTTTTACACAGAGACCTTGAGCCCTTCTTTTGCAATGACTTATGATAAGAGATTATGGAGGAATCTTATCATCACTGGCAAGGCTTTTATTGGGATGGTATCTCATTCTCTTCCCTTGTAGATATTGAGAGGGAATATCATGTGCTGCCTCAGAGGCTGTTTGTCCCAGTTGCTGGATCCAGTGTGATGCTCAGTGATTACAAGTTCGGTGATGAGGACACTGGGGAAATCCAGGAACGTTTTGTTGAGATGTTGGATCAGCCTGTGCAAGCTGAAGATATCCACATAGCTGAGGGCATCAGCAGAGGTAAATATCTGCCAGCCAGGGCAGGCTGGGGCTGGGARAATGCTCACTGATGGCACAGGCCAGTTTTATCCACACATGGGTATGCCTAAAGTCAATTTATATCCAACTCTAAGGGTTTGTAGCAATTCATTACAGAATTATGTTTCATTTTTATATTTAACTTACAGGATTATATATATTGTGAAAAATGGTCACGTTTCTTGGAACAGACTTCTCTTTCTCCTCTCAAATATTTTGCTTTTTCAGTGCAGGCATGAGCTGCAGTAGAAATACAGAGAGATGGTTAAACAGGGTTTGCATGCATCACTCTGCACATGAATTACWGGGGATTCTACACTGACAAATAAACTCCTAAAGAACACCCTGTAAAGCTTTATTTTTTTAAATGAATATATATATATATATATTTACTCTTCTTAGTGCTGAGTAGTTTTGAGACGAGTTAGAATAAGAAGCTGAGTGATTTAGTCAAATCACTGTTTTTTCACTACAGAATTAAAAACACTAAGAATTCTACTGGCAAAAAGTACTTCTAGTCTAATGTGTCTTTCAGGGAGTTTTCATGCTAAACAACCTSATGTTTTAAAAAAGACAACATACCTTTCTTTGTTCTGTGCGTTTTAATTTATGTACCAAGTGCAGTGCCCAAACCTGAATATTTGTGATTCACCTGGAATGAAAACAAAATTGAGAGCACTTTTCTTTTTCTTACAAGTTTATGATCTGATTATGAGATTGCTGTATTCCCTTTAATACAGATATTTTGCTATAATCTGATTAGTGGTTTCATCTTCCTGAATATTTCTGGTTTACAKCATTCCCTGTTGGGTTTTTTTTCTTTGCAATGTTGATTTCAATGTAGAATTCAAATATGACATTAAAATGCAATAATATTTCTGGTGGTCTTAGGGAGAGATTTTTCTTCCCTTTTTTCTCTCCCATCAACATGCACAGGAGCTGCAGGTTCCAGCTTTATGATTTAAATAAATTTTTAAAAACCCAACATTAATTGTCAGGTAAAAGCAATGAACACTTTTTGATGCTGGTGTTTAGGGACAAAACTTGGGCAGTGTAATCATGCCTTGTTGTGCAGGGTGAGTTGTCAGTATTGATGTTCTCCTGGACCCAGTTGTTTACTTGGAGGGCTGTTTGAGTTGCCCAGTTTCAGAGCTGACCATAAAKTCTTGTCTTTCCAAATGAATCAGCTCCCCCCAAGCTTTAACCAGACCTGTTAGCTGTGAACTGACTCATCCTCTTGAGGAGTAAGAGCTGCACAGGAACCTCCAGGAAAACAGGAAAGCAAATAAAAATCTCCCTGTCATTATTCGAGTAACTTTAATACTCTTAAAACTAATTACTAGTGAGCTTTAAGAAATCTGTGTTGCTTAGAGAAGCAAATGGGTATTGTTGTAGCAGTGGAGAGAGGTGTGGGAGGAGAGAGGTAATTATTCAGTTTGGTTTTATTGCTTATGTAAGTCTGTGTGAGCTGCAGGTAGGAAGGAAACACCTTCCCACTCACAGTAGGGCATCCCAAAAGATTAATGCCAGCAGTAGGGGTGAAGTGATGGCCACAAAATGAGCTTGTGTGTTCTTGTACCCTGCTGCTTGCAGATTTTTAAAGGAAATTAAATTAAGYAGGTTTGTTTTCTTTAAAAGAAAAAAAAAAGACCAAGCCCAGAAATTAAAACAAGTGCATAGCAGAGGAGAGGGAAAAACATGCAAGGGGTTTTGGGGAAGTCTGGCCTTGTCCTGGTGTTGACCACAAAAGTTTGTCCATGGAATGGGTTCTGTTATCAGTAATGYTATCAGCATAGTGCTGTTCATTGTGATAATTAGTGTTGAGGCATCAGTCATTTGTGGTTTATTAAAATCTCAAGTTATTTAGACACTTGGCACGCCAGGAAGGTAATTTTACAAATGAGTTCTATTAAATGCACACATAGTGTTCTGCATTCTTAAAAAAAAAACATTAATTATGGAATTTAGTTTTTATTGTTGCTTTGGTATGAGGTGTCTGAGTATTGCTGTAAACACTTTTTTGTGTTATAATGTTGTGTTGTGGTTTCCCTTGTGCAGAATTCTGAGTTGGGAAGGACGTGTTCTATCTCTAAGCTTAGCTCTAYCTTTGTTCATAGCAGCCAATATTCACTAATTGGTTTGTAGGGGATTTTTGTAGGGGATTTTATTTGTTTAGTTCCTGAAGGGTGAGGCTCCTACCTTGAATTAACTGGAAATGCTGCTCACAGTGAGGTTCTGGGGGAAAGCCTGYAGATMAAACAYGTTCTCTAAAATTCAACAACACRAGCAAKGCTTCTGAAATAATTTTGGGTTTTGTTCTCTTTAAAATAGTCACTTCAGAAGGAGAGGATCTAATCAGTATAGGCAAAAGATTTCTTTTTTAAGCAGCTTTTAGTCAAAACATGAAATGTTGAGGTCAGTTTGATGTGTTTCCTGAGCCTGACCCCTGGTGCTGTCTCCTGCAGTTGGAGTCTCTTGGTTCCTTGTCCAAGTCTCCAGAGGGGACACCACTGGGTCATGCTTTAAAACTGCTAAGTGGAAAATAGAAAGTAAACCCCAAGCTATTTATAAAGGAAAGCCTGAAATAGCTCTAACACTGTAATTTCAGGGTATTTAGCTCTAATACAGGCAGCTGGAAGCTCTGCACTTCTGATTGGCTTTACTAAATCCCTGCTCCTGCTTGGTGCAGGGGGTGGGCTGTTAAATACCCTGAGGGGTTAGACAGAAATAAGGCTTCAGCAGTGGTAATCACTTCCCCATCTTCGTTAGGAGCCTGAACAATTAAGGATTTATAGAATTGGTGCTGGAAAACATCTTTTGTGTGATTTGTTCTACAGCTGCTTCACATGCAAATCTTCCAAAATGTGATGGCATAAGGCCTGTGGGAACTAAATAGCTCAAGGGTGATTCTTTTTTTCTTTTTTCCCTTTGTCTGTTTAATTTTTCCCCTCTGAACAGGTGAGGRAGGTGCAGCTGCCTTGWTRTGCAGCTTCCAATGGTCCCCTCAGCAAARGGAAGCACAGAAAAACCTCAAGTTGGAGGGCACAGACCATCCCAGCTGCTCATCAAATATGCAGCAGAAAGAAACCTGCTGCAGCTAGGCTTCAGAGGTGACCCAGGAAATGCAGTCAGATTATCCCAAAGTGGATGTTTTATGGAATTCAARACTCTGGACAGAGCATGGTTCTCTTCCTATGCTAGTCAAGGTGTTTACTAAACCTATATTGCAGTGATTAACAATTCCTCTAGCTGGAGATTTCTGCTTGTATTTTAGAGAGTTTAGGGAGTGTTTTATATTGAGGGAGTGTTTTATCATATCTTATATATTTATATTATATATATATATATATATATATAATATTTATTTATTTTATCATATTTTATGTCTCTTCTTGACTCAGAGAAAATAATGATGTAGCCGTGGCATCACTGAGTTCCCGTGGGATTCAGGGAGATTGGACATTTTGTCCTCAAAGAAACACACTTTGCACTGAGATGTTATTTAGATTTTGCATGGATGTGCTAGTTGCAGAGAGCTCTCTAAACAATGTTTGCTTAATAAATGCCTGGATATTTGTCTGTATATCTGTGTATCTCACTATCCCGTTGAGTTTCCCGTCAGGCAGTTATTCACTGCTTTGCTGCAGTACGTTCTGTGCCAATTCAGTGGATGAGGGATAAAAATGCCTAAAGACAAGCTTCTGAAAGCCCAAAGACAGGTTCTGAAAGCTCAAAGACATGTTCTGAAGGCCCAAAGACAGGTTCTGAAAGCTCAAAGACAGGTTCTGAAAGCCCAAAGACAGGTTCTGAAAGCTCAAAGACAGGTTTTGAAAGCTCAGAGACATGTTCTGAAAGCTCAAAGACATGTTCTGAAAGCTCAAAGACATGTTCTGAAAGCTCAAAGACAGGTTCTGAAAGCCTTGAGACAGGTTGTAAAAGCCCAGCTCGCGTGCTTGTGTGTAACAGGTCTTGTGCAAGTTTGACTTGGGGAGGTTTTGAAGCCATCTGACTCATGTCAGATGACAGGAACAGCCTTTCTGATCACATCTAGATTATCCATTTCCACCAGGGGTAATGACAGAGAAAGTACTCCGTGAATCATTTGCATATGAATCACACAAAGGATGTGCCTTATTGCTCAACTGTGTAATTTATGATTTACTACTGTGGAAATGGAGATCTGTTTTTATTCAGATCAGTGGCCCATGGCCTTTAAACCCTGATGTTTGGTCCTGCTCCGATTTTCCTTGTCCCCTGAACAGTGTGTTGGGCTTGTTCTCTTTTCTGAGCCTGCCCATTGCAGGCAGACACATCCAGCTCTCACTGCCAGGCACAAACACTTTCTCTTTTTTTGTGCAGAATGTGCCTGTGGCTGGATTGTAATCCAGATTTCTGTCAACTGATGCCTTAGAACACTCCTGGGAATGGGAATGCTGCAGATGGAAGGCCTTTGGCCCATCCCCATTCAGCAGCCTTAGCACACAGGGATGTGTGGTGTGTTCCAGGCTGTCTCTGTGTGACACAGACAGGGTGGGCTGGAGGACTGCAAATTTCTAATCTTTATTTTAGAAGATTTTTTATATATATACATATGCTTATATATACATACATAAGTATGCATATATATATATATATATATATATATATATATGTAAAAGTATGCTCCCCTCAGCAGAAAGTGCATTTCTGTCATAGTGGTTTCGAAGTTCTTTTGTTAATTTGTTATCCTTTCAAAATGATTACTAATGAAGATTTTTATGCTATAAGTAGAGAGCTTTCCATTATGAGAGATTCTCTTGGGGATGTTGGCCAGTTGCATGTTTACTTGCTATGAGGAAGRTGAAAGAAGGGAATGAATTCTAGTGAGGTTAATAAAGATAACTTGTGTATGAAATGGGATGTTTACTTGGACATGAACTACAACAGAAAATAATTAAAGGTATTTTAATACCAATGCAAATTTCTCACAGTATGTGATGCAAATTATTTTTTTCCTTTTTGTTTGAATGCCTTCCAACAAAAAAAGAGATTAATCCCCTCCTTCCTCTCCTGCCCGTCTCACAGGCTGGGCATAGCCAAGGGATTTGGGAAATGTTTGCACAGGAAATAGATGCGGGTTTGGGTCCCATCTGCCTGGAAATAGACTGGAGCTCTCTCACATCCTGGCGGAGCAGACTAAGGGTTTAGTAATTCTTTCAGAGAGGAGTGAGTCCTCCATGYCTGCTGTGAAAGGGTATTTTTAGGAGAACTTCAAAAAGACATTTCTGTGGTTGGAAAAAATGCCATTCTGGCTGTTGGGTAGGGAAGCAGTGCTGGGCTCATCCTCTGGTGGCAGGGATTTGTGTGTGCCCTGAACTCAGGACAGATGGAAGCCTTGGACCATGGAAGGTGCTTCATGGTACCTTCWGGTGGTTCCCTCTCAGGGTAGTCAGATTCTCCCCAGGCTATGCACAKAGGGTTGGGAATGTTACTGTGGAARCAAGGTGTGGGAAAGAGTTTTGGAAGAGGAACTTCTCTCAAAATGTATTTCATCTCTTTGGTTTTACCTTTCCAGCCATGCGGCATCGTTCAGCATTGTCCTGTTGCTACTGTAACACTTCTACCACAATAAACTATTTTTTTCTACCACAGATATACTTCATGAAGTTGATTTGAAGCTCTTGGCCTTTTGCATTAATTCTCTGTGAGACACAGCTGTTAATTTTTCCCTTCTCCCCTTGGTTTCCCTCTGCAGTTGATATTTGTCCAGTGACCGAGAGCCCGGGTGACACGCCACAGGCACAGCTGACAAAAGCRACGCTGCTGCTGAAACTCCAACAAAATATGGGTATGTTGCTTCCAGATCTTTGCTAGGGCAATCAGAACCTGCAGTTCAGGTCTTTTCAGCTCCCACAGCATCTCAGTTGTCAGCTCAGAAATTCAGGGAACAGCAGAATTCACCTTTCCATTCACCACAGGATTCACCTTTCTATTGCAGTTTGTCCATGTTGCTTCCTGGTCCAGCTCTGAGATCTSTCTGCTCTCAGTATAGCTCTGCTTGCATTGAAATAGTTACACTTCAGTTAAAAAAAAAAAGGAACTTTGTTTTTCTGTCAGTTCTTAGAAGGGAGAGCATGGGTAACTGGAAAATTAAAGGAGCAGTAAATATGTCTTTACTTTGGATGTTAAAATGCTTTCCCTTAACGCAGAACAGCTCAGTGATGATTTTTTTGTGTGTCTCCTCWACTGCATCAGTAATGAGCATGTTGATAAAAGTAGTTTTGGGGATAGATTTTGATGGGTTTTTTTTTTTTGGTTGGTTGGCTGTTTTTTTGCGGGGAGTAGATTTCTTAGTTTTGGGGTTTTTGTGTGTCTCCTCAGCTGCATCGGTAATGAGCCTGTTGATAAAAGCCATTTTTGGGGTAGATTCTTTTGTTTCTTCTCATGTTCATTCCCTCCCTGCCTGTTCCCTCTGGATTTAGGGCTGCTCTTCTCTCACTGCCTGTGTTCCCTGTGGATTTAGGGCTGTCCTTCCCTCCCTCCCTGTGTTCCCTCTGGATTTAGGGCTGTCCTTCCCTCTGTGCCTGTGTTCCCTGTGGATTTAGGGCTGTCCTTCACTCACTGCCTGTGTTCCCTGTGGGTTTAGGGCTTCCCTGTCTCACTGCCTGTGTTCCCTGTGGATTTAGGGCTTCCCTGTCTCACTGCCTGTGTTCCCTCTGGATTTAGGGCTGGTTGTGGCAGCGGCTGTGGCAGTGCTGGCATCGATCTTCTCCTTCAGCTACTTCAGTGACTGATCTCCAGTGRTTGAACTGCAGCCACCAGAGCCCCTTGGAAGCCCTGGCTGCTCACAGGATGGGAACAGCTGGATTATTGTATCAGTAATTAACAATTGTTGCCTAAATCCCACCAGGTAGATGTGCAATATAAGCTGCAGTGGTAGGTTCAGTTACTTTTTCCCATCATGCTCTTCCTAAATTAAGTAGAATTATGCATTTATAGAATCAAGGTCAATCAGGTTTACAAGAAACTAACCCTGTTGCTCTGTATAAATTAATGATAATATTATTTTCTAGAAAGATCCCCTAGATAAATACAGAACCTTCATTTTCTTCCCCCTGGCTCCTTTCACACAAAATGCTGCTCCTAATGTTTCTCAGGGTATTGGTAGAACCTGCATAATGACCTGGTATGACAATTTCTGCTTTAAGGTTTCCTTTGCTAAGAGAAATCTTATTTTATTACAGTTAATGGGGGAAAATTAGGTTTAGTAAAACCAGCATTTGACCTTAGGCATTGTTTTAGATGATACTGGCTAACTAGCATAAAATGCATAGAAATAATTCCTAGAAGTTTCAAGTTTAGACCAAGGCAGCCTGTAAATAGCTTGGTTCCAGACCTGGARAACTCAGAAACCAATGAAATGCATAGAATTGCTGAGCTGTGTGTACTGCCTTTTACTCAGTGCCTCCTGATGAGGATTCTCTGTCCAGCCCCTATTCAATCATCATTAGCTTGGAATTTTAACTATTTAACAGCTACGTTTTGGTGGGCCTTGTGGCTTATCTTGTAGGTACAGGTGAGTTGTCAAAATTTATGCTAATCAGGATTTTTAGGCTATAAACAGAGCTTTCCATTAGCAGAGGTTCTCCTGGGGGTGTTGGCCAGTTACATGTTTACTTGCCCTGAGAAAGGTGRAAGGAAGGAAWGARTTCTAGTGAGGTTAATAAAGGTAATTTGTRTATGAAATGTGATGTTTACTTGGACCTGAAGTACAACACAGAAGAATTAAATTATTTTAATTTAATACCAATTTAATACCAATGGAAATTTCTTTTTTTGTTTGAAGGCAGTGGAACACAAAGAAAAAATAAATCCTATGATTCTAAAGCATAATCAGCTGTGTACTGGGATACCTTTATTAAAGGGAACTCTGAGAAAGGTGTCTTAACCATGATTGCATCATCTATGCTTTTACATTCAGTTTTTACACGTTTGGAAAAAAAAAGAGCTGCTTTTACTATTGTAAGCATGTTTTGAAACTCACTGTTGACCTTCTGTGCTCAGCATTGCTCAAGTGGGGCCTCCTGGAGGAAGGTGAGTGTTGAAATGGGGGCACTGGGTTCAGCTGCTGTGGGTTTTATTGGTGCTTTTTCTTTCAGGCCAGTGGGTGGAATCAGTAGGCAGGGATCAATAGGCAGGGTGGGATCTGGGGAGGCTGAGAGTAATCCAGAAATGGGATTAATTTTGTAACATCCTTCAAAATATGGTTGGTTTAAACATCACTCTGGTACAGCCTCTGTTAGAAGGAGGAACAGAGGTGYAATGAGACAAAATATCTCTTTTTGTGACTCATTTGGGTTTGGTTTTTTATGAGGTGAGCAGAGTATACTTTTGAAGGTAAAATAGAAAATTATTATTCTGTAGTTGTCTTGCACAAAACTCAGCCACAGAAGTGAAATACAGTGTCTCTGACAGCAGAGAAGAAAATTGTCTTGAAAAGCTCTGCTGTAGTTCTTTAGTACTTGTGGTGCCAAAAATCAAATTTGTTGGGCTGTATTATTCCAGGGATCCCCTAGCAAAGAACTCTCTTTTTCTCCCCCTCTACTAGYTTATTCAGTGGTTAGTAAATGATCCTTTTCTTTGTGGTGATGGTCAAATCAATCCTTCAGTTTAGAACAAACTGGATATCAGGGGTCTGTGGAAGTCTGATTTTCCAGTTTGGGCTTGGAGGAAGGCAAAGAAAAGCTGCTCTGGTGGAGATTCCAGGGGGGATGTAGGAGGATGTTCAAGTACCATCCGTGCAAAAAGAGATTAATTAGCCCTGCCAAAGAAAAAATGAGTAATTTGGCTTGTACCTACAGATTGAGCCTCCCAGTCATCCTGCCATGAGGAAATAGGGGATGGGGAGGAAAGCAGGTTCTCACTTGCCTGAGAATTACAGGACTAACCAGGAGGGGATTTCACTGTCCCATCTTTCCTTGTGCCATTGCRTGCCATTGGTAGCATGAGAAAATGAGGGCTTTAGGATAGACTAAAATGTGTGTGGGAGAAAAGGAAAACAACCTTTTAGAAATCCATTTCTTTACTACTGCCTAACTCTAGCTCAAGTTTCATTGTGAGTTTATCCTTTTCCTACCTGTATAATCCTCTGAAGCTCTCAATCTGTGGAAACTCTATCATGACTGGCACTGAGCTTTGTTAACTCGTGTCCATGATTGCAGATACGTATTTATTTTAATATCTAAGAGTCCAGAGTAGTGGTTTGGACTTCCACATCTGAAAATCAGACTCTTCTAAATGTAGTTCTAAGATTTATGATACGAAATACTTTTACAGAACCATTATTTTCTGTGTCATGGGGTTTTAAGATGTCATTTGAAAGGCCTSAGTGGTCCTGGTCACTGGGGTTTATAATTCCTCCCATCTGGGGGCAGCATTTGGGTGGTGGTGAGCTGTGACAGGTTGTGATGGAGGACCCCAGCTGAGGACCCCATGAGGCTGGTTCACCTCCCTGGTGTGAGGGACAGGAGGGGAAGAACAAAGATAAAACTCTTGGGTGCTGTAAGAGCAGCTTAATAATGGAAATAAAGTACAATAGAATTACAGTGATGATAATAAYAATGAAAAGGGAGTAACAGAGAGAGGGGGATACATCCCAGGCAGGTGAGTGATCCCAGTGCAGCCCCTCAGCACCCATCAATGGTGCCCAACCTGTCCCCAGCAGCAGCCCCCCAACAACCACCTCCTCCTGTTCCACCCTGGCTGTGCCATCCTCTGGGGTGCAATATTCCTGTGCCCAGTGGGATCATCCCCTGGGGTGCAATGTTCCTGTTCCCAGTGGGATCATCCCCTGGGGTGCAATATCCCTGTTCCCAGTGGGATCATCCTCTGGGGTGCAATATCCCTGTTCCCAGTGGGATCATCCTCTGGGGTGCAATATCCCTGTTCCCAGTGGGATCATCCTCTGGGGTGCAATATTCCTGTGCCCAGTGGGATCATCCTCTGGGGTGCAATATTCCTGTTCCCAGTGGGATCATCCCCTGGGGTGCAATATTCCTGTGCCCAGTGGGATCAGCTGCCCTGGCCATATTCCATCTCAGCTCCTGGGGCAGCTCCTCGCTGGCACAGCCTGGGACAGGCAAAGTCCTTGACTTGGGCTGAGCTCTGCTCAGCAACAGCTGAAACATCAGTGTGGYATCAAAATAATTCTCTGCTGGATCCAAACCAGCCCTGCACGGGTGGCTGGGAGGAAAAATAACTCCCAGCTGGCAGCAGGACGCTGGCATCTGCCAGGGGGTTTGCTCTCAGCCTGAGCAGCRGTGACACCAGGGATAATTAGTTGTCCCCTCTGCTCCATCAGAATATTTGAGGATGCTCAGGGTCTCTGACTGACTCAAAAGGAATAGTAASCACAGCCCAGGGTAGCAGGAGGGCTGTTCTCATATGCTTATTGAAGCATTTACTCTTTGCTGCTCAGAAACTTTCATGCAGTAATAAATGTTTGAGTCAAGTCTTGCTTTTTGTTTTTAAGATGTTGGTTGGGTTTTTTTTTTTTTATTTTTCCTCTGCAGAAACTGATAACTGCTGTGATCAGAGTTTTATTTGCAACTTCATTAGTCATGAGCTTCTGTTGAGGCTTGGTGCCACATGTGTGTTTGCTCATTGGTTTTTGTTTTTTAAATTGCTGGCTGGAGGAAATCCTGCTTAGGCACGCTTAATCTGCCTCTTCAATTGGAGTGTTAGCCTTTTTCTTACAATAGCTGTAGGTGCAGCTTCTGTGGTGTTTTGTTGAGGTTTTGTGCTTCCAGCCTTGTTCCCAAAGAAACAAAGCTCATGGGGTGAGGCTGCTGATGTGCAGTTAATAGCTTTTACAAAGAGTGGAACTTCTCAAGGAAGTTAAACTCCTACAACTTGCACTGAGATTTTTTTTTGGTGTGTAGAGGATGGGAATCCTTCATGTCTCTTCTTTAGAGCACATCATTAAAAATGCAAGAGAAATATTGTCCTCTACTCAGGTAACTGATCACTTCGGTGAAGGACAAGGGATAATTCAGTATTTTGTACATAAACTCCTATAAGATCATGGGATTTTCATGGTGTGGATATATCTGCAAATGGTAGATCTGCAAGCAGTCTGAAGAGACAAATGCTAAGATGATTTTAGCTGAGGGGTCAACATCATACCTCAGTAAGGGGAGAAAGAACTGCTCCAAGGGAAAAGCTTTGTTCCATCTGGACTTGCATCGGAAAGACTTGTGACAGTCTCTCATTCGGCATGGAAATCATGGCATTTTGGGAACGTGCTATTTGAATTTTTGGTGTAATAAAGTTGTGAACTGTTTCCCAGATTAAAGAAGATTGTGTGAGAGACGATAAAGAACTTTGTTTGTGTTGCTCAGGTGTACATGAGGTGAGGTTTCTAGAGCTCTGTTAAAACAGTCATCTGTGGAAGAACAATGGTAAAACTAAAAATTCAGTAGCATTTTGATAGTTCCTAAAAAAGAACACACAAAAGAGAAATAACCTTTAATGTTTTAATGATCTCAAGTGTTACCAGCAAAGTGATGCTGTTAAGATCTTTAATAAGAGACAGATACTTCCATCCTCAGAGTCAAACCCAGCCTTTAGCCTTGCCAGGGTGTAGAAGTCACTGAARTGTTTCTGATATTTTATGTTGTATCAGACAGAGGAAGCTTTATAGTGGATTTACCCCATGTCTTCCTCTCAAACAGATTAAATTGTAGCTCTTAGCAGCTTCCCTTTTACAAAACTTCCAACTTTGARTTTAGTAAGTGTCTAGTGAGTGCTTACTAACACTTCCCATGTTTTTAAGGCTATATTATATGTTACCAATATATTTCACACTTCCAATGATGGGTTTATAGAGCTGGTAAGCTTTATTCAGAGTTTTTACATAAGCACAACATACTTTTCCAGAAACTCACAGACATTTTAGATATTGCTGCTCAGCATAGGGAGCACTGATGAACTGAAATCAGCTGATGCTCTGTCTCAGCTGTTTGGGTGAAAAACAGGTACAGGAGCACCAAGCTAACGTCTTTCTTTGCATCAGTATTGAATATTCAATGTGGAATAAAATATAACCTAGATGCTTGGACCATTTAGGAATGCCAGGATTTTGGGCTATTTTTCTGTCCTTAACAYTGCTTGTTCCCGCTAGGGTTGGCAGAAGTGAATCAGAGCAGCTAGGACTTGCTGTGACTCCAGAACACARAGATGGCTTTTTGTGTGCACACAGGGTTGGACCAGTCCTGTCTCCACAGAGATGGGGGACTTGTGCTTTGTGGAGACAGCCACGGACCCTCAATTTTATTTTTTTTCCCCTGTATTTCTTAGGTATCACCAGTATTGTCTGCTGTTCTTCCTATTACTTGTGGCTGGAGTAGAAATAATTATGTACAGGACTGACAGCCGTATGTGTTTTATGCAGAATTCACATCCTAACAGTTAAACAATTTTTATATCTTACAAATCAAATCAGCAAAGACAGCCTTGCCTAAGTGGGATGGGTGTGACTGACATGGATGTACAGCTGGCTGGAGAGGAGGGGGAGGCAGCCRGGGCTACGGCTCTAATTATTCCACATCCTGCTCCTCCGTGCCGTTGCCCAACGCCGGGAGCTCCCTCTCCGGTAGCAGCCCRTACTCATTGAGGAAAGCCTCCACATCCACAGCGAAAAACTCCTCGTTGAACTGTTCAGAAACGCTGATGAAATTGCTGAGGAGCTCACCAGCCTTGTAGACCAGCAGCGAGGGCAGCACCTCGTTGGAGAAGCGGTCGCCGGCGCCTGTGCTGGACGCCTTGATCTTGCAGAACTTGACCGTGGGGTACTCGGCCGCCAGGCACGTCAGGCTGCTGTTGAGCGCCTCGCAGCCCTTGACGCCGTCCTCGTAGATGTGCACGATCACCGTGGTGGTTTTGTGCTCCTTCTCCACAGCCTCCAGGAACTGCTCCCCGGTCTGCAGCTCGCACACGAAGCCGAACTTGGGCCCGAAGCTGAGGCGCTGGTGCATGTCCTGCATGCAGCGCTTGCGGTACTGCTGCAGGCAGCTCTCGTCCTCGTGCGCGTCGTGGATCAGCTCATACTCCTGCATGCTCATCTGCAATGGCCAGGGAGGGACGGGTCAGGCAGAGACAGCCCCTCGGAGCTGGGAGGGGACAGAGCCACCTCCTGCCTTGAGAACCCCCAAAGCTGAGCCAGGAAAGCCATCACTCCCTGCAGTGACACTGGGAGGTCTCCTGGAGAGGCAGGTGAAGATCCTGTCTCAACACTGCTCTGTCACCGTGCTGGTGTTGAGGGCAGTGGCCACGCTTGGCAGAAATTCATGAGTCTTTCAAGAGTTGGTGGAAATTTTGAAATTCAATCTRAACCTCCCCTAGCCCAGCCTGAGGCTGTTCCCTCTCGTCCTCTTCCCTGGAGCAGARCCCGACCCCCCCGGCTGYCCCMTCCTGTCAGGGAGTTGTGCAGAGCCACAAGRTCCCCCCTGATCCTCCTTTGCTCCAGGCTGAGCCCCTTTCCCAGATCCCTCAAATGCTTCTGGGGCTCCAGCCCCTTCCCCAGCTCCATTGTTTTGCACATGTGTTAGTTCTGTCTGCATTGAAAATGTTCTGCTAAATTACAGAGAAATGGAGTCGAAAATTCAGGATTTTCTACCTTGTAGCACGTTTTACATGGAGCCAAAATGAATTCCTTTTCTTCTCTTACCTTACGGCAGAACCTCTCTCTGGTGTCTTTATCATCTCTGCTGAAGGATCTGTGGGGTGAAGACATTTGTCTGAGCATTTCTTTCTTGCTCAGGGGTAGGGAGTCTCCATCTTCACTCTCCAGCTTGAACTTCCTCCAGTCRTTGATCACACCTTTGGGCCCTAGGAGAGACGGAGGTGGGTGAGAAAGTGGCTGAGCAATGAGCTTCTCGAGAAGTTTCTGTGCATTTGTCCTCCTGTGCCTCAGTTTATCTGTCCCTCCTCCTCACAGAGCTCTCTCCAGGGCTGCTGAGAGCCTGAGCTTTGGACCAGTGAAAGGAAGGGAGAGAGAAGGAAAGGAAAGGAAAGGAAAGGAAAGGAAAGGAAAGGAAAGGAAAGGAAAGGAAAGGAAAGGAAAGGAAAGGAAAGGAAAGGAAA